CCTCGCAATGATTAGCACTCACTCACTCCTCACTCGGTGTCTCGGTAAACACGATAATGATGGAAGAAGAAGAAGAGGACCGCGGCGAGGTAGGTAGGTTTGGTATTTTTGGAACGGCGTGCTGCGCCTCTCCCGTTCGCGCTTTCCGCCTCAAAACTGCGTACTGCGCCGGCGCAGTGCACAGGCGTGGCGGATTCATGGCGGAAAGACGGGTACGGGCTGCTTCATCTTTTTTCGTCACGAATCACGACTCACCTCACCCTCGCCGGCGGCCTCGCCACTTTTCCTGTCCTGAAACAAAATTCCCACCTCACCAGCGGCGGTTCGCTCTGATTGACGAGATGAGACGCCCTGGCGCCGCTTTCCTTTTGGTCCCGTGCGGCTTGTCCTAGGCACCACGCCATCGGCTTTTGACCCCTTTTTTACCCACAGACGCAAAGCCTTTCACTGCTAGCTGGGCCCCGACGTAGATAATCATCTTTCAGTAGTACACCTCACCGGGTTACCCTTAACCAAAGCCTCTCAAATCTTCGGAATCTGTCGATTCATGACCGACTGATTGGAACCTCACTCGCCTTATCGCGACTTTGTGGGCCCCCTCAGCTGTGCCTTCCAGTGCCAGCCACTAGCACGTGGGGCCGACGCGGCGCCCACATGCTCAGATGTCTACTGTTCGTCCTTTTGGAGTTGTCCTGTCAGCCGGGGAACTCCACCAGGATGAGCGCCGTGACGGGCCGTGGGCCGGCCGGCGTTGCTGCCTGCGACGTCCGGCCAGGGCTATAGCTTGCACCGACGCGCGGCGGCTAGCTCGTCGCCGCGAATCCGATCAACGTCGTTGAGGGAGCCAGGGCGCGTTTAGTTCGCTCCAAAGTTAAAAAAAAACTAATGGAGTTTAGATGAAAAATCCACGAGAACGAATCTTTTAAGATAATTTATAATTGAACATTTGCTAATAATAACAACGAAAAATTACTGATTAATTTAGCTTAAAATTTTAAGATCTCAAGGCCAGGAACCAAACGGCTATGTAATTAGTTTTTAATTTCATCAACGACGGGTGGGCCGGCCGGCGTTGCTGCCAGCGACGTCCGGCCAGGGCTAAGTTGCACCGACGCGCGGCGGAATCTTCGTCGCCGTATAGTCCAAAATTTAAATTTCAACGTCGTTGAAACAAGGGCTCAATTGATTTTGTCCGGATCGCTGCTGGGCCTGCTGTTCTGCGCTGCGTACGACAATCGAACCGATTTCGGTTTACCCACCACCAGACAATTGGCCATTTCGCTGGTTGGTTTCTAGACTAGTTTAGATTAGCTGGTGCTGATTTGATATTAGAGAAAAAACTATTAGTAGACTAATTTAGACTGGCCGGAACAAACAAACGAAGAGGCAGAAGGTACCGGATATCGGTAGCTCACCTACACTGAGTCACTGAGTGAGGTCACGGCGGCCTGGTCGCCGTGCGTACGTATGCCTGCTGCGGACGGCACGGCAGGGCCACCGGGGCACGGAGTGGTTGCCGCCCTGATGTAATTCCCGTTGCCCAAACTTAAAGCGAGGGTCTGACCGTGATTTCTCTCCTCTCCTATTTTGCGGATGGGGGTGTTGATGAAATAGAGCCCACAGCGCCTCTGTCCTCTGGCTCTGGAGACTTTTGCTTCGATTATTAGCCATTTAGCCATCAGGTTAGTACAGGACTCGAGCCCTCAAGTCTGCTGTTTGCTCATCAACAGTTGCACATGTTAAAACAAAAGGTTCCTGGAGTTTTGTAATGTAATGTATAAAATATAGATAAATTTGTTTATACCCAACAGAACAAGTTGGGTGTTTGGTCTAGTGGTATGATTCTCGCTTCGGGTGCGAGAGGTCGCTAGTTCGATTCGCGCAACACCCACATTTTTGATGAAATTTTCCTTTTTGTTTTATATAACCACTAATTCAAAAAGCACCAATGTGGAGGCCTTTAACCACTAATAAAGCCCAGCTGAGAGACCCATGTGGAGACCAACTGAGAGGCCCGTTACGGTTAGAAGCGGTAACATGATTGGATTGCAACTCTGCAGCATGCTAACAGCCGCGAAGCAGCCTGTTGTACATTTTAGCCAAAAGCCGCCAATCAGCCTTTTGTACATTTTACAGCTCAGTTTTTTTTTTCTTTTTTTTTTTTAACGAAGCCGGCAAGAGAGTTGGCTGTTATATTAACAACAAGGAAGTCTAAAAGGCACTGCACAAGACTGTGCAAACCAAAAGATAAGGTCAAGGACCTCACAAAAAAATTGAAATAAAAACTGCAAGAGTCTAGATAAATGTTTAGCTCATGCAGTGATGCAAACGGTTGCCTTATATCTTTTAATCTTGCGGAAGGACTTGGTGGTTCAGAGTTTCTTTGTGGGCTCGAAGATTCTTGCATTTATTTCTTTCCACACCTCAGAACATACCAGGAGGATGATAGAGCGCAATCCACGTCTAGCAATTGAAGGGGTGGAGTCCATATTTTCTCACTAATTTGGCACTGAATTACTTGGTGCCCAAGCATTTGGTCATAGATGCAACGTTGTGTAACCATAAAGCAATGACCTCCCAAATACGCGGAGTAAAGCGATAATCTTGAAAAGGGTGCATGCTGGATTCTTGGATACACCTGTAAAGGAGGCAAACGCAAATGTTTGGTCAACCGCGTGCTTATAGTCTGAGGTACAAATGCGATTTTGGATGACAAGTCATTCGAAGAATTTGTATTTTGGTGGTGCCCAAACCTTCCAAAATGAGGAGATTCGGTTCGCTTCCAAAATTTACCATACAAAAAATTGGCAAGCCATGATTTTGGCTAGTATTTGGTTCGTTACCAAAACTTGCCAAACTCTCACATTTGGTTTGCTAAATCTATGGCATTTTTTTCTCAACTTTTGGCTTGTCAAATCTTTGGCATGACAAATTTTGGAACTCAACCAAACAGGCCCTCAAGTCAGTCATGGATTCCACAAACTACGAATGATAGGCAACCAGTTGCCTATTGCTTTTGCAACAAGAACAAGAATATATGTAAAGCATATATATTTAACCTTTAACACATTCGTTGAAGTTAAACAGGTGGTCCTCTAAGGGCGTGTTTGGTAGGCAGCCTGAAGACAGCCAGGCCGACAAGCCAGGCCCAGACTAGCCACAGCCTGGCTGACCCGGTGTAAGGCCCCTTGTTTGGTGGCCTGTACCAAACTGACCAGACCTAAAGAAGATTGTGTTTGATTCTACAGCTGGGAGCCAGGCCCATGGTCAACTACCACCAACTACCATTCCCAGATCTTGTTTGATCCCCAGCTAGGCCAGCAACGATGCAGAGCAGCCAACATAAATCAACAGATAGGAGATAGATAAGAGTAATACAACATCACATAACCAACAGGCCTCAGACTAATTAGGTAAATAAGCATGTAGTCATAACTGCTCTAACTTTACAAAAGTACCAATAAAAGCAAGGCAAAATAACAACATCAGCAACCTAATCAGTAATCAGCAGTCTTTAAACAACACAAAGGAGATAGGTAACAGAAATAGAAGACAGAAATCAGTAAGACACAACAACAGCTCATCCATCATGTAGTTGTAGTCATCACAGGCCTAAGTGGGGCAGTCGTAGCTGCCAGTTTTGCCCCCCTTCATCCATAGTCCAACCACCAAGAAAACAAATGAGGTGATTAACACCTTCTTCCACCAACCAGCCTTACCATTACCATCAGAAAGAGGAATGATTAGAGCAAAAGCATCATGAGGGACATGATCACAGGGGAGGGGAGGTGCTGCTCCATGAGATGGATGGACACCTCTCATGGCTGCCTGATAATCTCTAACGGCCTGGGCATAGTTGCTATACTTCTTGTATATAGCATTTCTCACCCCAAGAACATGCTTACTGTAGTCCTACCAATTCAGGTAAATCCTAGGAGCATTCCCATTGAAAACAACATAGTACACTGCCATTTTTGTGAAATGAAACAGTGTTGTAGCCTCAGTCAAATATAAATCATGAAACTAGCCATGAGTGTGGAACTTGAAGATCTACGATTTGTGGTGAAACAAATCATTGATCTTAAGTCCTCCACTGATGACCAGTATCATCAAGTTCATATATAAGAGAATTGATATCACAGGCATTGTAATAAAAGGTTGGCCTCAGCTTTAGAATGTGGTGGTGTTCTTTCAGTTCAAATCATTGGTGGCTGCCATAGAAAATAAAACCAGTAGTGCAGTAAATCCAAGCTCATGGCTGTCATGGAATCCATGTGCACATCCATACACTGCCATCAACATAAGAAAGAAGGGGCTATTGCTAGGGTATGGATGTGTCACATGGATGTGATGACATACATGACAAATCAGAATAATCAAGCAAACAGGGCAGGCATCAAACAAGTGCAAATCTAGGGTCATGACTGTCGTCAAACCCTATTGTGCACATCCATTCACTGTCATTAGCATAAGTGAATGGATGGGCACACATAGGGTTCCATGGCAATGATGAAAAACATGAAGAACCAATTAAACAAGGCAGACACCTCTTGAATATGTTGTTTGCATCATATGCCATATAGATTTCCTACAATTACCACCAATCAAAAGAAACAAAACCAACAGATCATAAGTAACACACATAAGTGATAGATGATGTAGTAAATAGAGCCAAAAGAACAGAATCCAATAGAAATAAAAGAAACCATGAACAATACCAAATACAACAGCCAACAGAGGCCACTAATAGTGCATTATAGATACCAGTACAGCCTCACACATGTAGGCTCAAATAAGGTCTATCTTGCTTAATGTTACCTATAGTCAGCCATCCTCCAACTACACTAACCCAAAAGGACAAGTTTGAATCAGCCAACTAAGCTGCATAAAAGCTACACCTAAGTGTGTACAAAAGGTAAGAGAGTGGGTGAGGGAGGTGGAGGAACTATATATCTCAATAGTCAACCCCCTCTTTGCCTTGCTATCCTAATTGGACACAACTACATATAGTAGTTCTTGACGAGGTAGTTCCTCAGCCAAATGTCCCTATGGTTGATTGCCATCTTCACAAAGCCTGTGGCAATAGCCTTGTTTTTCAGCAGGTAGGTGTAGGCAACAATATGGGCTTCAGTGGTGAAGCCCTGCATCTCCATGACTGCAAGATAGAGGTCAGGATCCACATGTGTAGCACCTGTCTCCCTAAGTGCATTGGCAACATTGTTGACAGCATCAGACATGTTGGTCAGCAAGAGCATCTCATCCTTAGTGAAGTTCTCTCTCTCTCTTCCCACCCCCAGTAGAATGTAGCTACTCTATGGCCTTGCTGCCCTCCCGAACCTCAGTATTGGTCTTCTCCTCGGGGACATGGTGGAAGGCAGAGCCCTCAACCTTAGCAGCTGCACTATTAGCCTGGTTCACCCCAAGGGCCTCAACAGAAGTACACAAACCACATGTTCCATACTAGGGTCAACAAACTAAGTTATACAAGAATAAACATGTATGAATTAGGTCCTAGAGGTACCCCTACCCTCCCACATTGTAGTACATATGTCATCCCTCCTAGTGGACATGACATTAGAGTCTTGAGACAGTAGCTCATGGACAAGCTGAGAATTAGGCTGGTTTGGTGGCAACTAGTCCTCTGGTGGCACTACTTGGTCCATGCCAAAACCTAGAATCCAGCTGTGAAGAATGCAACAGGCTAGCACAAACTTGACCTAAGTCTTGTAAGGATGGAATGGCTTGTCCAAAATACGAAACATGTTCTTCAAAGCTCCAAAAGCCCCTCTCAACTATGACCCTAAGTGAGGAGTGTCTCAAGTTAAACAATTCCCTTGCATTGGTTGGGTGGTTTCTGCTGCCATACTCAGACAAATGGTACCTCACCCCCTGTAGGGAGGGAGGAAGTGTAACACCCCTAGTGTTACGAGCTCGTTTAGAACCGTGATTTAGGTCTAAGAAAAATTTCTGAATCGAGCTTCTCGGGTTTTTAATTTAAAACATACTTAAGGAGATAAGCGAATCCTGTGTGACTTAATTTTGTGGACTCAAATCAACGTCCAAGTTAAATTACTCAGTGTGTAAAGATAATTTGTTCTATTAGATTAAGCATGAAAAGCAACTTTTATAGATAAAATAAAATCCATTAATAAATAGAACGATATACATATATATAGCTTTTGAATCAAATTTAAATTCGAGCTTTATTGAAATTTTCCTGTGCCTAAACGTTGCAAATTGTCTAAATTAGTAAACCGTTATATATATATATACACACACACGTTGCGACGATAAATCAAAATTAAAGGATAAAAAAAGGACAAACGTACTCCTACGTGTAACAGTGGCAGTGTGGTCATCACCAAAGCTGACCATTAAAAAAATCAAAAATCATTAGCATGATAACTCTGACTATCACCGTTCACTTTCACTAGCAAGGGGTGAAACCGACGGTGACGAGAGTTTCCCATTTGGCGGTGTAAATATGTCCTCTCTGTACAAGTTGACCGACATTGCTTCCTCGCTCTCTCTCACGCGTCTGTCTTCCGTGTCTCTTGGCTTGGCTTGGCCTGTTTTTGACTGTCTTGTCCGGCTTGCCATTGAGTCTTGTGTTGGGCGCGCGCGCGCCCCCTTGGCGTTGGGCTGGCTTTGGGCAGGTGGTGCGCCGCGCCTGATCCGTCGCTCCTAGGTCGCAAGACCTTTGTTTGGCCCCTACGGGCCGCTCGGCGCGTGCGCCGCCGCCAGCTATCTAGGCTACTGTGTGTCACTGGTCTGGCCGTCTTTGGGCCATGGAGCCAGTTAGTTGCCGCCAGCCTTGCCTTTATCTAAATGCTTTTCGAATATAGGTTTCTAGTTTAACTTGTAAAATTGGTAGTAATTTATGTAGTGGTCTAAAAATTGTGAAACCAGTTTTGTTGAGTTCCTAAAATCATGATCTACCTATTAGTATAGTTTGTTCACATAGTTTGATAATATTCGTGGAAGCTATATAATTAATTTAAGGTACTTAATATTATAAAATATAAACTTGTAGGAGTTTCTATGATAAATTGATAATATTATTGAATCTAAAATTTATACAGTAGGATCCTAGCAATATTAGGTACTCACTATAATTTTTGTAGCTCCAGATTAATTAGTTTGCTAAATAGATAATGATGTCTTATTTCGAATAATGATTAAATCGATAGAATAAAATAAAGAAACATCTTGGTTTATATAACTAAAATTATTGTTGGGAAATAGCGCCTTATCCGACAACGTGTATATGTAGCCTAACTATGGTCGTCGTTAGAACTAGCCCGTTAACTTGAGAGGCGTACATCGTATTTTATGAGTCACGATTGCAGTTGATTAATTACATATTTGAATTGCATCGCATGCATATCATATATGTACGATGATGGATCAAAGGATCGATCAAAGGATGATTGTGAATCGAAGATGGTGTAATGGTATTCTCTCTAGGAGATGATGCAATGGACTTTCTATTCAGATGATGTGGATGATCTAAAGATGTTGATACTAACTTTTTAATATCTCTTATCCAGGCAAGCCTCGGTGCATAACTCCTACTTTCTACAGTTTAAATTATATTTGTGCATTAAGTTTTAAGGAGTTGAATGAAACCCACTTACATATACCTATTTTTATCATATGAGTCTTACTAGTATGACATGATCGTGTAGATTGCTATGCTACAGGACTCCGGTAGAAGTCGAGTGATTGCCTGTCACTCGCGAGAGATAAGAAATATATTACTGTATTATTATCACTTGAAAATATAAATGGTGGAAAGGTAAACTGATGATCGGGCTGGGATATGGTTTGGGTATTGGCGGGTGTAAGAGGTTGTGTCGCCATGGACGCGGTGCATGGCTTGGTTACACTACTTTCTCTGTCTGTGTCGATTAAGGACCGATCATTGCATAAGGCTCTAGGCAAGTCACAGATTTATTATCTCGAGCACATACTTGGGTATGTGCGCTTGGAAGACTTATTACTCTCTTGTCGTAGATCCGGCTATTTTTGGATCGACTATCAGGGTTTTATTTTGGTGGAGGAGGTCCTTGCACCGCACTGAGTCCGGGACTTAGGGACGGGGGCTTAGAGTCCTAGTTTGGATGGGGACCTGGACACCGGGATAGGAGAGTGATGGGTTGGTCTTGCTTATGCCTGGGGTACAAGCGGGGCGTGTGTTTTTGGGGTACCCAGCTGGGGGCATTGATTCGTGAATCGCCGGGCGATCCGGTACGACTTGTATCTACGGTTTAGCATCGTAGTAAGAATTGAAAGATGAAAGATGGAGGATGGAAAAAGGAACTCTGATTGCTTACCAGCTGCTTGAAAGTAGTACAGGTGCTTACATAGAGTGGTTAGTTAATGAACCAATGTGGCTATTCATAAAAATCGAATATAAGGACGCACGCTTAGTAATGCTTCCTGCAAATGCAATAAACCCACAAGCTAGATAGCCTTGCATATCCTTAGAGTCTTTTTTTTTCTCCTATCGGGTAAGTCTTGCTGAGTACAATTGAGCACTTAGGGTTTTATTCCCCCTGTTGAAGGTGATAGGTGGATGCTAGAGCTGACCTTTGTGTGTGGATACCTCCTGGTGGGCTCAGCGAGGATTCCTTTACGCTGCGATCATAGTTTTTTATTTACAACTCTCACCAAATATTTTTATAAATAAAAGTTTATAATCTGTTGTCATAGTTGTTATATATCAATACTTCAACATGTCATGAATAAATATTTATTTCTGCTGTAATCTTGATCACATGTTTACATTCCGCTGTTAACTTAAATTGTCGTAACTCTGTTAACATATTTATATTTCCGCTGTTACATTAAGTTATTCATAACTCTGATAATATAATTACATTCCAGCTGTTATAGTAAATAAATATTATACTCTGATGTTGTACTAAAAGTGATGTAAGAAATGGTTAAGAATGTTGTAAGCTTTATTCTCTCATTTGTGATCCTGATGGAAAAATATGGATTTTCGGGTTCTCTGTGCCCGACGGAACCGAGTAATTTAATATTCTCCCTTGAGTGCTTAGTGTCTAATGGAAGCCAAGCACTCCTGTGAGGCATTAGATTAGGCGGTTCTGCCATAGGAAGCCATTGCGGCAGGCATACCCTGCATCTACAAGGTAGAATGTACCTACAAGTGCATCAAAGATGCTCTTGGTGAATGTTTATGACATGGTAAGGACATAAGTTCAGTAGATAGTTGGTTTTAGTTACCTTCAGGCACAATGAACCCATCATTTCTCTCAATGGCATCAGCAAGGATGAGGGCATCATGTGCTGAGCCCTCCCAGCCAGCCAATACATAAGTCAACTTTAGGTCAAAGTCCACAGCAACCATCACATTTTGTGTGTGGTTTGATTTCCTACCCCTAAAAGCCTGTTGCATGTGTCTAGACACTCTAGCCAATACATGGGTGCCATCAATGGCACCAATACAATCCTAAAAAGGTGTAAGTGGGATAAGTGCATTGGTTCACACCAACAGTGAGTTATGGCTTAACAGTTAAATTTACAGTTACCTGCATGTAAGGGTTCCATCTATAGCTCCCAAGGATTTTTGGATGTATGCCATGTGTAGGAGGTGAAAGGTCCTAATATGGCTAGAGGGGGGGGTGAATAGCCTATTTAAAAATCTATAAATCAACTAGAGCAATTTGATTAGTATGACAAATAGCGAAATACAAATTTGCTCTAGCTCTACATGGGTTGTAAGCCACCTATCCAACAATTCTAGTTACTATGATCACTAGACACACAATTTACTAAGTCACTACTCACTAAGAGCTCTCACACTTGTTACACTAAAGAGCTCCACTAGATGAACTTAAGCTACAAAGCAAGCTCTCAATTCTAGCTACACTAAAGAGTTTACTACAACTAGTTTACGGGTATGTAAATGAGTAAGTAAGGTGATTATACCGTCGCATAGAGGAGTGAACCCATCACAAGATGAATACTAACTTGATCACTAGGAGAATACCAAAGGGCAAGAGACAACCAATTTTCTCCCGAGGTTCACGTGCTTGCCAACACGCTATGTCCCCGTTGTGTCGACCAACACTTGGTGGTTCGGTGGCTAAGAGGTGTTGCACAAACCTCATCCACATAATTAGATATCACAAGAACCTACCCACAAGTGAGGTAACTCAATGACATGATCAATCCACTAGGGTTATCTTTTGGCGCTCCGCCGGGGAAG